TGCCCTCAGTTCCATTCACGCAGTTCTTTATCTTAACCTGTAGCAAACAAAAAGATGACAAAAGAAAAGAAAAACAGGAGGAAAGCATTTATCAGTTATACCCCAGAAATACATCAGAAATCACAATGCTTGAAATTAAGAACAACAGGTATTCGTCAGCAATAAGGTATGCAGATCAAGGCAGAACATATGAATCCACTTAGTTTCAAATTCCCCCGAATCTTCCCTTTTGCTATTGTGAGCAATCTGCTGTCAGAAACTCAAGATTTTGCAGATTGAGCTATATTATTAAATTAGAGAGATTGATTGATTGTCAACTATTTCAGCTTTAGGCTCGTTCCTAGATCAAACATTTGACGTTTCTTACACTTGAATATAAATGAAGCCGAAGCTTCATGGTAGATCCTAAATAACATCTTATTAGCATATAGTATACCCCAGTAGTCAAATGTTATGCATCATAGAGGCAAAACAAAGAGAGTGCAATTACATATGTAAGTGTTGTCTGGTACCAGTGGAATAGTATATGTAGTGTTATTGAAGACCGTGCTTTGCTCATATCATGCCATACAAGCATATCCTTCTCCAATGACTTGAATGTGGTCAGTCACAGTCTTTTTTTGAACCATGAGAACTAATTTGTAATATCAAGATATCAATCAGAAACAATAATCTTTGATTCATTAAAGCTTGGCAGTCACAAGGAAAAAAATGGTTGAAAGATGTTAATCCAATTCGTTACAAGCTTGGTGGTCAACAAGAAAGAACAAGTCTCCTAAGACTAACTCAAACCAAGTAAAGATGCAGTCACATCCATTTTAAGCGCAAGATGAAATTTTCACCTCAAATCAGATGTAAATTACTATAAACAAACAAGAAAACTTTAGGAACGGCATTATATCAAAGAACTTTAGGAACGACAATTAACTTACCATAATTTAAAGAAGATGCACATGATTTCTTGACATAATGGTAAAATAATTGGCTCAAACAAGTAAAGTCTCAAGCATCGCATAGTATACTACATACTACAAAGTATAAATAAGTTTGTCCATAAAAACAAGCAACAACAGTCCGCGGCAACAACTGCAGTCTAGAAACTGGACCGCGTGCAGCCATTGCACATAGTCGAGGGCTAAAGCAAGGATTGCTTGTGGTAAGCGCACACTGGCATGATGATTTTCTTTTGTAGTTTGATTTATTTGAGTATTTTTTTAACGGTTTCTGTCTGTAAAATACCATAACTCAACTCAACTGATCAACAAGTTTGTCAAGGACATCTCTTTGTCATGTGTGGGAAAAAAACCACATAACTTGAATGCAGTTCATTACGTGTGAAATCTAGGCCTTGATGCTTCAGTTCAAACCTTTCTGTTACTTTTTTTTGTTGCGACTGGACCATGTTATTTACCTGTATTCTTTGGTATTGTTTTTATTAAGTTGTAATTGCATTGACCATGCCTTCATTAGCAGCTGTGTCTTTACATGTGGATGGACTGGCCCATAGAGGTTACAGCATATCGTGTAGAGTATGTGAAGCCCTGTTATTACACATGAAAATAGACTTAGTATCGAGGAACATTAAGTGGGCCTGAATTAATAAGATAATTTAACTTTGATTATTTTCTTTTCTTTTTCTTCCAATTCGGTTGTTTGTCAATTAACCAAGAGTATACCCCAGTTTACCAGATATTGAAATACACGTGCATCATCGAAGAAAGACAGAGTTTTCCCCCTAAACATTCATGCTTATCATAGACTATAAGGTTAGTTGTCATATGTGCCAAGACTCATAAGTAAGCATTTGACATTTAGTTTTACTTTCCAATTTATAACCATATAATGCAACATTCAATTTAAAAAACTACAAAAAGATTTTCATACATAGTAACAGCTTATAACCAGTTAATGCAACATTCAATTTTGTAAACTACAAATTTTTTAAACATTGTAATAATTTTCTTTAGTAGTATTATAGAATGTGCATACCTCACAACTAAATTTAACAACTTTTCCTTAGACATCCACTAAACTTCTTGGTCACATCTACAACTTGTGTAGAAGGATGTTGCCGATAATACTCGTGGATTTAAACAAAGAAGCAAGAAAATATTTTCAATTAAACAACTATAAACAAACATTCCTAGGGCTGGAGGAAAAATTAAAACAATCTCTTTCAATCTCTCATAGAAAGCCTGAACACATTTGTGCCGCCGCCAAATGTGTGCCCTCTCAATGTAGTGATCCATCCTCATTTTCTTGCTTGAATGAAAGAAGAGCCATTAAGAAGAGAACTCATAGTCTTTTGCAGTAAATTAATTATGAAGGCTATTCAGTTACCAGGACAAATATCTAAAATTCGACAGAACATCAATTAAATTCTAAAATTTTGCAGTCAATTAGAGAAAACCCTAGTTTTCAGACCATGAGGGGTACCTAAGATAGGAGTCGACTCTTGAGTGAGCTTCTCCTCTTCAATCTTCTCCGCATCTTAACTCCTCCACTGAATAAAATATATAAAAAGAAAAGGAGAACAACGTCAACCGAAACAATTCTGAAGTCTTTAGAACAAAAAAAGAGGCACATAAATTGGAATTAGTGCTTTAACCTGCAGAGATTGAAGGATCGAACTAAACCCGAGATAAAGTAATTCAATCTAATTTTAGCAGTTAGGAATTTTTACCAAAACCCTCAGGAAATTCCTGCAGCAGAGAAAAAAGGACTGAACTTTACTACAAACAGAACGAATATCGATCTCATTTCAGCTACCAAAGAGCTAAATTGATCAAGCCATGCCATCTTTGCTCATCTTTACGAAAATCTTATAACTGTTTTTAAGAAATTGTGAAAGGATTTCATTGAAAGGACTTCACCTCAATAATCATAATAGTTAGTTATCAACAAATATATGTACAAGGAATGAAAGTTTTGTTCAAAGCAAATTGCAGATGCATAACGATCCTCTAATTCACACAGTGCTAGGCCTAAAAGTGATGCTATGCTTCTAGGCCCTTCATCTGGGCAATCCAATTCCTCATTGAGTCCCATCTCTTTTCCCCTTGAAAATTTTTTAAGTACTTGATTCATAGAATAGACAATATAGTAGATAAAAATAATATAAATACATGAATCTTGTTGTTTAGTCAATACTTCTTCGAACTTGGATTTTTACCATAATGTACTAACATATTTGTTACCCACATAACTAAACACACTAACCATGATCCACTCAAACTAATTCAATATCTATTCAAATATGGATTCAATAATATTTGCATGAACAGTAAAAGTCAATGCTTAAAGAAAGCAAGCAGCAATCTTTATATGTTAACATAACAATTCAAGGGATAAGAAGATGTTTAATTTACCTGGAAAGGAAGTGATGCAAGAAACAAACCAACCACACGACCATTGTATTTAGTTATTGCAAATTAAACCTCTTCTTATCCCTTGCAAGAAACAAACAAACGCACACCATTATATTTAGTTATTGCAAATGATCCAGTCGAAGATTGTATCTCAAAACAACCATGCATATCTTTATTAATGGTTAGGCTCAAATTTCATCACAAAATTATATTGATGGGAGGACGAGCAAGGCTCCAATAATTTACGGGCAACTGTGCAAAGGCAAAATGTCAAAGCTAAATTGCATCAAAAGCATATTGTGAATGCAGCTACTTGATCTTCGTGACACCAAGCTTCTTTGTTCTTGTCAACAGTCAAAATCCATAAAAAGATTTGACACTTAATGCTTGCCATATAAAGAATAAGTTTGGACGAAACACGAAGATTAAAAATAAATGCAATAAAAATTAGAATAATAAAATTATGCTGAAGGTATCAAGTTAGACACCAAGATAAAATTCATAGGCAAAGGAAACAAAGATTAAAAATTAATGCGACATTTAATAAAAAAAGGTAACTTAACTTTGATGCAAAGGTATAAAATAAAAATAATAAAGATTGAAAATAAATTTAACAAAAATTAAAATGAAAAAGTTTGCTAAATATAGTGAATTTGACACAAAGGTATTGAATAAATGCAACATTTAATAAATAAATAAAGGTAACAACTTTTGACACAAAGGTATTGAATAAAATAACAAAGATTAAAAATAAATATAACAAAAATGGAAAATAACAAAATTATTCTAATAATTTAGACACAAAGGTAACAATTCATAACTAAAGGTAACAAAGATCAAAAATAAATGAAACATCTAACATCTAAAGGCAACGAACTTCGACATGAAGGTAACAATAATAAATTAACATAACACAATTAACCGAAAAATTCATAGCTAAAGGTGACAATTGATGAAGATAAATAACAAAAAAAAGAATAAAGAAAATAAAATTATTCTAAAGGTTGCGAGATATATTAAATAGAAATGTAATGCTTCATAACCAAGGTAACAATGTTTAAAACAAATATAAAGATTAATAGCTGCACATAACAAACTTCAACATAAAGGTAACAGTGCATAACTAAAGGTGGCAAAATTCAAAAAAAGGATGACAAACTATTGTTATATTGCTAGTGTTAACACAACAAATAAAAAAAAAGGTAATTAAGCGAAAGGTTCATGATTAAAGGTGACAACCCGTAACCTAAAGATAACAAAATCTGAAGGTGGCATAAATAAAGATAACAAAGTTACACTAAAGATAACAAGTTAGACATGAATGTGCCAATTCATAGCTAAAGGTAACAAATATAAAAAAAGTAACAAACATCGACACAAAAATAACAATAATTAATAAAGATAAAACAATTAACCAAAAAGTTCATAGCTAATGGTGGCATACTTCGACTTAGCAATAATAAAATTGAAAGGTAATAAGCATAAAAATTATGCTAAAGGTAACATGTTAAATAGAAAGGTAATAGCTATAACAAATTAGAAGTGAATGTAACATTTAATAACTAAAGATAACAAACTATGACATAAAGGTAACAATTTATAGCTAATGGTGACAAAGTTCAATACAAAGATGACAAACCTCGACATAAAAATATTAAATAAAACAATTTAGGTAACACAACTAAAATAAAGGTTCATAACCAAAAGGGGCAAAAATTGACCTAATTGAAAGATATATAAATATAAAGATAAAGGTGACAAAAGTATGCTAAATGTAGAAAATTAGACACAACGGTAACAATTCTATCTAAAGGCAATTATCAACAATCTTAAAGAACTTAAATCATAATAACACAAGATGCTAAGCATCAACATTAACGAAAAAAGCTACATAATTAAAATGATTTTTTTGGGGAAAATTGCAATGGAAGTCGAAGAAAAAAAGGAGAAGGAAAAAACCTCTAAATTCTATATGGTATTCCATAAGTATCAACAACTGAATCCATTCAGATTGGAGACAATTACCTGCAATAAAAATGGTAGAAATTTATCACTCATGGCCAAATGGACTACGCATAAGAAGATCATAATTTCACATAGTGAGAATGAACAAAAACATTTCTTGATTTCCATGTGTATCATAAAATTAAAGAATATTCAAATCTCTAATTTTTTTGACAGAGGAAAGAGAGAGAAAAATGAAGCCAAATTTTGAAAAACCCAAATTGAACTTAATCAAACCCTAAAAATATATATATATATATAATTAAAAAAAGTTTTTGTGGCCTTTCATATGTATCCTTATATTGCAGAGGTAGCATATCCCATGTTTCTTCAATGCATTGAAGAACAATGAGAATCTAACCAACTATTTACTCCTCTTTCTATAATAAAGCATAGATTTCCTGAAATATCTAGTTATATTCAAGTCCTTTTTTTCTTTGAAATGTCCTCTTCATTATCATAGAGAACTCTTTTGAGCTTCAAACCAAGATCCAATTTGTAACTGAAAGGGGTTGACTAATATCCCAAAGCCTTGGCTACGAATTCCATTTGATTTACATTGTCACTATCCATTCACAATGTTTCCTTTTTATGTAGTTAATAGGATATGCACTTTAGTATATTGTCAATATTGATTATACTGTAACCAACATTAGCAAAATATGAAAAAGGCTAAACCCATAGCAGTGAAAGAAAGATTCAGAAGAAATTCATAAGAAAAATGCTAATCGAGAGGATTAAAAAAAACAACTTTAACACTACAAATCCAAATATAACTAAAAAGGGTTTTTTTAGATATTAGTCCCCCAAAACTTCAAAAATTCCATATTAGTCCCTCAAATCATTGAAATTGCTTATTAGACCCTCAAATTTTATGGGGACTTGAGGCTAACATGTTAACCAATAACCAAAACCATTGAGGTGATTGGCGGCAAATCACCATCACCTCGTTGGAGATCGTGTTGATAGAAATCCTGAGAAAATGAAGGATTTGGGAAGGATTTGTTAAATGTGGTCCCGCTACATCCTAATAATACAAAACAAATTACTAAAATTCAGAAAATATGAAGAAAAAAAAATGTAACTCTTAAATATTCAAAAAAATAAAAAAGTAAAAATACTAATATATTCCATTTTAAATACAACATACATAATAAGCGGGCCCAAAAATCCCTTTCTGCTTTTATCTATTTCTTTACAAATACACAAGAATTCTTTGATTCTCTTTTCAAATCTAACTTTCATTCCACTACCCTACAAACCAAACATAAAGCTAAAATGTAGGATAGGCAATAATTCTTTGAAATCCAACATTGCCATAAATCCAAAATACAAATCTTAGAGCCAAACATCCCCTCATACACCTGTATATGTGGCTATACATAAAGATATATTCATAATTGAGCATTAAGAAACCATCAAAAGTAGGTACCAGTCTATCGTACAAACTCAATTAATCATCAGCAACACAAAGTAAACAATTTAACAAGAAAACAGATAAAACCTTGAGCTGCTCCCTTTCAGCTGATGAACGAAAGAACCCACGTTCTGGAAGTCCACAACTGGCTGATCTCTGCACACATAAATTCTCAAACATAAAATCCAAAAAAATTAACCAAAATCAACAACTTCACACCAAAATTACCCACAAACTTACATCAAGCTGCTCAGCTCTGAGATCATCCTCTTAGAATCATCACAAAACAGCTTAATCACCTCAACAAGGAATTCACCCCCGTCCTCTTCCAGTATTAGGAGCTGATTAAATTGCTGATCCAACAAACCCTAGAAATCGACAAACCCAAATCAAACACGGAAACCCTAATTTAAAAAGAAAACAAGCAATCATCACTCACCCCTGTTGTTGAGGAGGGCGGTGAGGAGGGCGCAGAAGGAGAGCTGGGTGGGGTTGGGGATCTGGTGGAAGAGGCGGACGGCATCGTCGAGGAGGCCGGAGGCGTAGTGGAAGAGGATCCGGGTGAAGAAGCCCTCTGATTTGAGGGACGTGGGGTCGGAGATCTGGGACAGGAGGGCGCACCGGATGAAGTCGAGGCGGCGGAGGCGGGAGAGGCGGGGGAGGGCGAGGGTGTGGAGGGGGCGGTCGGAGTAGAAGCGGGGGAGGTGGGAGGAGGACTCGAGGAGGTCAGCGATGCGGTCGGGCTCGGACTTGATGGCAGAGAGGGGTTTAGGATTAGGGCCATGAGGGTATGGGAGAGAGTATGGGAGGGTACGGGAGTAACCGATGGAAGGAGAAGGAAAGGAACGAATGTAAAGTTAATGAAAAGTTAATGAAATAAAAGATGAGGTCAATTTTGTTATATTTACAACAGTAGAAGGGTAATTTGGGGTAGAGAAAGTTTTTTTGGAACTCCCTCTTTTAAAGGGTAGATAGATAGATTATTCTCAGCCACACTGGTCGCCGACGAGAAAAAGGACCTTGTTGGTAAGTTGAATCAATTAAAATGCCTTAAAGCAAGTTTGCCTAATTAAAATATCTTCTTGATAAATGAGGTGGAATTAAAATACCAATATGAGTATTTAGCCTTCTTATATGAGTTTCTATTGAGGATTCTTCGCGTTGCATATTCGCCTAATATTTAACTAGTATAATGCACGTGCATTGCACGTGGACGTGTTGTTGTATTTAATATTATATCATTTAATAAATTATATATAACCATTAAATATTATTTTGTTGCACTATGATTAAATTTTTTTAACTTATACTAATATTAGTACTTATACTATTATTAACATACATTTAATAGTTATTTAAAATCTTCTATTTTTATATTATTAAACAATTTATTTAGAAGTATAATTATTAAATAATAATGTAATATTTCATTAAACTACACAATTGATATAATTAAACCATTTAAATTATTAAATTTTTATGTCATGTACATATTTTATTACAATATCTATTAAATAATGGCAATACCTTTTAATATTATATGACTTTATGTTGTAAAGAATATTACCTTGTTCAATAATTAATATCGTCTTAGTAATAAAAAATTGGATGGTATAAACTAAAAATACTATTATTTAGAAAAATTAATTTATATAAAAATATTGGATCCTTGAAATATATGAGACATTTACTTTCCAACAAAAAGTGCATGACTTAAAAATATTGGATCCTTGAAATATATGAGACATTTACTTTCCAACAAAAAGTGCATGACTCATAAATTTTAAAGATCCAATATTTTATATGAGACATTTACTTTCCAACAAAAAGTGCATGACTCATAAATTTTAAAGATCCAATATTTTATTGCATTATGTTCATAATGTCCATTTTTATGTCTAAGACAATATTATAATATCATAAAGGGTAATAATCATTATAATATAAATGTCCTATTTATACTACTATTATTAATTATAATTATGTACAATATTTTATTAAATAAATAATTTCACTATTTCATTACAATTAATAATTATTTTATAATAAATTATAATATATTTATTAATTTTATTATCATTATAAATTATTAGTATATTCTAGCGAGTGGCCAAATATTTTGAAGAAAAGAAGAGAATAATATATGTCTCATAAATTTTAAGGATCCAAATTTTTTATATAAATTAATTTTCTATAATAAAAGTATTTTTAACTTATAACATCCAAATTTTTATTACTAAGATGATATTAATTATCGAACAAGGTAATATTCTTTACAACATAAAGAAATAACCCCTATTTATACTATTATTAATAATTATAATTATGTGCAAAAATTTATTAAATGAATGACTTTTACTATTTTATATTATATAATTAATAATTCTTTATAATAAAGTATCATATATTCATGAGTTTTGTTATCATTATAATTTATTAATATATTCTATTGAATGATCAAATAATTTGAGAAAATGAAAAGGTGCATAGTTAATGAGAGGTTATGGATCATTAGTTTTATAATTAATGGTATCATTTTGAGTTATAAAAAATTAAGAGGGTAAAAAAGGAAATCAAAAGTTTTGATATGGGTATTCTCTTTTATAAGTAGTATAGATATAGATGAGAAATTGATGGTAGCTCCAAAGGCATAGAAAACTGATATGTGAAATGCAGAAAAAATAATGTGGATCATATAAAAATAGTCACATCCCTTTATGATAATGAAAAAAATCTCATAATTATAAATATTATAATAATCAAATATCAAAAAAATATAATAAGCAAATATTAGGTAATCTCAATCAAATTATAACTATCCATAATTAAAAAAAATCTCATAATTACATATTTAGTTGTAGAAATTAAAGAAAAAAATTACTCATGTAGATAGTCACTCTACAAAAATAATATATACAAAATTGTACATGTACCAAGTCATATGTAAAGTTAATGAAGTAGTTTTTCTCTTAAAAAAATTTGACAAATTAGTCAATGTTTTTTCTATTTATTCATTAAATATTCTATCTTTACTGATTTTTAGGAAAACAAATTAGTAGTTTATACGTGTCCACCTTTAAATAAAAAGGAAATTATAGAGCAAAAGATCCCATCTTTGAGTATATATAGCATGTAGGTTTCAAGTTATTTTTCCTCTACGAAAAATAAGAAATTTTCTATTACTAAAATATTCTTTAAGATAATAAAAAAGTAAATAAATCAATTATACAACTTGCTGAAAATAATATCTTGAATTCCCTTATTTTATATTACTAGTTAGATTGCACGTGCAATGCACGTGGTAAAATTTTTAATATTAATTTTAATTATAATTATATTTATGGAAAGATTTGGTATAAATTTAATGAATGTACACAATATATATGAACATAAGCTAAAAATTAAAAATGTTTGAATAATACGTTTATATTTAAGGATCAATTATGCGATATTGGAGTTAACCCTTGGAAATACAATAACAAGAATATATCTAAAAGTAATGTTTGAAGATGTGGATTTAAATCCAAGCAAAATATTCTGAACTTTGTGTTTCCCTTTAGATTGATGAATTATATCGGTCATGAAGTTAACCCTTGGAAATAGATTGATAAAAACATGAACTTCCCTGTAGATAAATTTAAATCATAGTTAATTACTTAATTGTATACTCTACATAAGGTAGTACTCTATTTGAACGAAAATCAAATTCTACAGATACCATGACATATAACAAAAAGCATCATATTGTTTAGTTTATTTTCACATGAACTTGTACCCGAGGATTCATCCAAAACAAAGTTAGACAAACAACATATTTTTTTTCTTTCCAACTCATGTGAATATCCCAACCAAAACCATGCTCATTTGCAATGCAATTGAACGATAGGAATTCATTGATCACCTAACCTTGCAATCATGCAATACTCAGCGTGTAATTTTATGAAACACTTAAAAGTTCAAAAGGACATAATTATTATATAAAACTATATCTCATTGACTCCACTCTCTCCAAAACACACATTTACATTTTCGAGTAATAACTGACAGGATCTCTAGCAGTGGTTTTTTCATCAGGTTCACCCAAAGAATTCTCACGATCAAACCGTCCAGCTCTCCTTAAAGGTTGGTCAATTGCATTTTGTTTGTTTGTTGCTCCGATAACAAGAACATAACCAAGCTTCTTCTCAGATGTTTTTGGGAATCATCAGAAGACTGAGTGTGATGTTATTCATCCATGCAAGGCATATGTTTTGTTACTATCAGCTGTTCCATCTCCCTTTGCAGGTTTTCTCGCTTGGAAGCAATTGCATCTATCTCATCAATGAATTACTTTATTCAGAAACACGTACAACAATAATGTGCAAACTTAAAATAAATTGATACTTGAGTCAAAAATAAGGTTCATCTGATATGAATTAAGATTAGGAGCATAACAACTTGCAGATATCATTATAAAATCAGACAAAGAACAAGCATTCTGCCCTGCTTAAGTAAACTAAGTTAGTGACCTATTCATCATTTTATTAAAATCCCAAGACAGAAGTACTTACAGCTCTATCACAGGCCTGAGGAAAGGAGCCACCTTTTCCAGACCATCGAGATTTTCCAGTGACTGCACATCAGCAATAGGTATCATGTAAAAGAATACCAGAGCGAACACAGATAATGATATAAGCAGTTTTCTGATGCTGAGAGAAACAAATGGTATAGCTAGATTCTTCCAGTAAACATTGCGTGGCTCTGGTGCCCAGTAAGTTAACCAGCGTGTTGGGTTCCTACTTTGCTGAGTTTGAGCACAAATAGCAGACAGCCCATCTCGAGTCAAATGAAACAAATGCTACAGGCATGATAGCTTTTGGATCTTTGAGAATTATCTGACGCTCTGCTACTAACTGAACCAAAAGACAAAAGAAAAGTTCAGAACAAAGCTAGAAATTAGTTTTTTCATATGAAAATGCATCTATTAAAGGCTCAGGGTTAATCAATATGATGATGTACCTTACTCTCTCATTAACATCCATACATTAATACCCTGTGAAGTACTTATGTCTGAAGTGATGCAGGAAACTTCTTAGGAAATATAATGGACTTACGAATTTGTCAATTTCCTAGATGCTTTCACTATAGTAGTCAATTGCATCCGTTCTTACACCACAAAGCCCATGAAATCCTTTCTGACATACCAAAGAATCAGATGGATCAGTAGTAAGATTAGAAGAACTATCATGGTTAGAGGAAGATCCTCTGGATCATGGCTTTTCTCGATGAAACAGATTTTAAGTTAAGGAACCTTTACTATATTCTTGTTAAATGTGTTTGATTGGAATAATTGAGAATTGATTTGTCATATATGTCATCAAAACTAGTTCAACCAATAGTTTAACACGTTAGAAATAATTATTGACTTAGTTTTCTACATGTTCGATAAAGAAAGGGAATGTTACTAAATAATTCAAGAGCAAAATAACATGTAGGGAATTGTCAATAAGGGAAGAGAAATTTGATATTTATAAACACTATAAGGATAGTAAACTTCTCATGAGAAACATCTATTACCTGGTGGCCAAGGTAGTGTTCAGGATGGTTCCGTTGAAAAAACTGATCCACGCTTTCTGATATAGATTGCCCAGAAACATGTGGGATATTTCTGACAACTACCTGTAAATAGATAAATGAACAAACTAAATCATAAATTCGAAGTAGTAAGTGACTACTGTAAATGATTAACTTGTACAAAGGTGCAACATGAGATCAAACTTATGTTTCAACATTTCAAGTCAAATCATAGTAGACATAGTTAGATCAAGGTGAACTTATTTAAACCATTGGATGACGATCACTCAACAAGTGGCAAACTCATACTTACAGTGAACTCAGCACGACGATCTTGATCTTCTAAAAAATGCAATCTCATGAAGGCTATATGTCCATACTCCTTGTAAAGGACGTAGCAAGTCCATATGGTGAACAAGTATGCCATTGACAGGTGATACCAGAACCTAAATTATTACCAAAATAATTATATTAAGTCCATAGTAGTAATTAAACTGGAAATGGAAAGTCCTCGGAAGTCAAACAAACCAAAATAATTATATTAAGTCCATAGTAGTAATTAAACTGGAAATGGAAAGTCCTCGGAAGTCAAACAAATAAACTGGCACATAAAGCAAGTAAGACAGTAATTAAACTGGAAATGGAAAGTCCTCGGAAGTCAAACAAATAAACTGGCACATAAAGCAAGTAAGACATGGATTTAACTTAGATGCTCCGTTTTGATGAACCTTTTTTCTGGTCAAAGTAAGGAAATTATCTGTAAATTTTGATACTCACCACCGCATGCCACATTGTGAGCAGAATAATAAAAAATCATAAAAGCAAAACAAAGAAGACAATAATTTAAGAGTGGCTATTATTCTAGATAGAAGTATTTACTTTAGAAAAGCAACTTACCGTTGAGAACCCTCCCTAACATTTGAAATTGAGAGCTTATCAATGCCACTGAAAACTATGTCTTTGTTAATATTTTTCAATGTCCCATCTTATACATTCACCGGAATAAGAACTAACAGAGCTAGGATTGTCATTGGTACAAAGATCTTCAAGCTGTAAAATTAAAAATTAAGTTAATACTACAACTATCGTTACCACCGTAAAAAAAACAAAATAATAATAATAATGTATGTGTTCTTTTGAAGCAAGATGTGCTGCAGAATATATGACTAATGAACTCAGACCATGGACGAAAATATCTAGACAACTGGCGTAATATCTAGATAACTAGCGTCCAACTAAAATATGAATTGACAAGTAACAATTATAAACCTCGACCCTCATCACAACTTCAAAGTTATGGAGTAATGGGCGGGAGGGGCCTCTAAAGTTAACCAAAGTAACCCAGGTTCAAATCCCATATAAGGCACATCTAAAGCAAATTTTTTTTTTAAAATGTTACGTGAGTCCAGGTTTCGATCCGTGAAAAGGAAATTCAAATCAATCTGCATGCATATTAGAGGAAAAATTATAAACCTCAGCCATCATCGAAACTTCTTAGTTCTAGAGTAGCCGAAAGGCCTTCTATGAGACCCGAACAGACTGCCATACTAACCATGCTTTAAATTTAATAGTCATAAAATCATGAGGTAAGCAAATGCATTGTTTTATCTCAGAAATCAACCGTTTTATCGCCGTAAAAGGTACCAATCGGGTGAAATGCAGCATTCATCACCAGCATTACCCAATTGCTTGATTTCCCACCGTACTACTAAATTCAGCCAATGACTAGTTCATATTTCCAACAAGTTGACGAACTACACCGTTAATTAAGATTCTTATATTTAGCTTAATTTCTCACCATCCTTCACGCAAAATGCTCAATTCAACAATGGATTACATTACTCATAGTCAAATTTCGCAAAAATTAAGGAAAATTCCAGCCAAAATTCTCACCAATTCTTTTCAATACCAAAATCTCGACGAAAATTACACTTATAATCTTTATTAAAAAATTCTTAAAATTGCAAAAATTACCTGAGAATGTAGATCCTCAAAAAGATAACAGAATCGAGCCCCGCATGCTGGATCAGGTCATTCTTGCTTATCCTCAGCGCCTCCTGCATCCAATTCAAGAACGTGAAGCACGTCCTCACGTTGAGATTCACGAACTTCTCGACGACGCCTCTGCCGCTCCCGCATCTAATTCAAGAACGTGAAGCACGTCCTCATGTTGAGATTCACAAACTTCTCGACGACGCCTCCGCCGGCGGCGTCGCCGCGGTGGCGCGGGCTCTTTCGAGCTCCGGCGAGGTACCATTTCTGGAAGTACACTCGATCGAAGGCGGGCTGGAGCCTGAGGATGGCGAAGGCGAGGAGGAAGGCGAAGGCGCCGAGGATGTTGATGAATGCCAAGACTCCGATGTCCTCTAGAGTCGCCATTAGAGATCTAGGTGATCGGAGCGAAGGGGATCTAAAAGCTGGGAGAGAGTGCTTTTCCTTTAGGGTGGGGCCCGGGTAGTGAGTTTAAGCCACGGTGAGCTGATCGCGGTGGAGGGTGCGGGGTTTTGTTGTGGTGTTCCTGCGAGAAGGGGAAAGGTGCACATATGGAAATGACGCGGGGTATCGAAGAGTAAACCTCAGCCAGTTTATAGAAATCAAAGTATCTGTTCTTTGATCCTATGCTTCCAACCAACTTTGATGGATGTGACTCAATAAGAACATCCTGAAAAATGAATGAATAGATTATCAACCATTAGGTGAGAGCTTACGGGAGACTTATTTCATCAAAACCTATTTCATACCTTATCCCTAACAAATCGTGGTAAAGCAATTGAAGCCAAGTTGCACACAACAGTTTTAGTGGGAATCATTCTTAGCACCTAATACTGTCAGAAGAGCAAACCTCAGCCAGTTTATAGAAATCAAAGTATCTGTTCTTTGATCCTATGCTTCCAACCAACTTTGATGGATGTGACTCAATAGGAACATCCTGAAAATTGAATGAATAAATTATCAACCATTAGGTGAGAGCTTACGGGAGACTTATTTCATCAAAACCTATTTCATACCTTATCCCTAACAAATCGTGGTAAAGCAATTGAAGCCAAGTTGCACACAACAGTTTTAGTGGGAATCATTCTTAGCACCTAATACTGTCAGAAGAGCAAACCTCAACCAGTTTATAGAAACCAAAGTATCTGTTCTTTGATCCTATGCTTCTAACCAACTTTGATGGATGTGACTCAATAGGAACATCCTGAAAAATGAATGAATAGATTATCAACCATTAGGTGAGAGCTTACGGGAGACTTATTTCATCAAAACATATTTCATACCTTATCCCTAACAAATCTTATTAGATCCAATTTTTAAAATCAGAGAAGGTTTACCTCTCTCTCATATTTTGTGTACAACTTATTAAACTCCTTGCCCTAGCAATCAGCCAATACTGGAGCTTCATTAGGGCAAAACAATGACCACTCTCCATTATTTTAGACTCTCTCCATAAAGAGGTCGGGAATCCAGAGGGCATAAAAGAGATCATGTGCTTTGTGTTCTTCTTGTAAAATGGTACCATATTTATTTTCATTGCAAAGATAAATTAAAAAATGAATTTCTTTTATATAAGCACATTTAAGACAAGGGCTAAAATAGCACATGGTAGCTTAGCATGGGAAACAAGTTCCACCAATACTGGAAATACATTGCATAAAGTATAATACTATATTATATACAATTTTAACATGCAAGAGGCTAAGAATCATATGCTTGACATCAAATATCTATATAAGCTCAAGTTAAGCAACAGTCATTTGCTCAGGAAGGCATCTGCTTATCTTCGGCAGTGTATTTAATACATCACCAAACTGACAGTGCATGTATCTGTAAATGAGCAAAAATATTGCGTGAAATTGAAAATCTTAAAGAATAATGAGATCTGATTTTAAATTGTTAGATATGCATTCCTATCAAGACGCAAGGTCTTTTGATGAAAGCCTCTGTCACAAAGTCCATTCCACGTGTTAATCTATACGAATTCAAGAAAATGTTTTACTATTAAGAATGATTCAATTTGACTATTTAAAGAGGTGCAGTGAGATAGAATATAAGAATACCAAAGCATGTGCAGTGGGTCCTTGGAGAGAAGGAAAACACAATTATAAATTATTTAACTAAGCTGACAATGAAAAGGAATCCAAAATGATTTAAAAAAGAGAAGAAGAAACTTACAATAGGAATAGGTGCATCATCTTATTTGCACATGATTCATTGAATCCCAGTGTCAAGGTCGAGTTTCATTTTCGCTGCCCAACCGGCATAAGCCTTTGCTGGAGCCCCCTGATCCCGTTCTAGATTCCTAAATTCAATCTAAATATGTGAAAATATAGCAATAAATAATCTAATATCAATACAAGCAATATTAGTATTACTATAAATTTGTATAGATAATGTTGAAAACTTGTAACCTGAGATACGATAATAGTGCCACCCTGCCATTGGAATATATTTTTTGATTTAATCATTCTAACGAACTTCTGGGTGGAGTTATGCATTTCCCAGTGTAAAAGGGACAAGATCAAAATATATTTTGCTATGTGATTATAAACTTTTATATTAGCTAAATTTTCGGTTATTTCTGTACCTTGAAAGGTTCCTTATCAGTTCTGAAACTAATACAAAGCACATATTTGAGCCAAACATGGAATCCCCTATACATTACAATAAACCATAAACATAATTAAACATTAATATTTAAATTAATAAATCAATCCATAGCAAATTTTCTCATTACCCAAAATTCCATTCAGCACAAACATAAAGGCCAATGCGTAGATTGACATATAGGTCATCCTGCTGTACTAACCTAATAAACTTAACCAAGTCATACATGTCCTCAAAATAATACTGCAAACCAAAAGAAAGTCATTGATAAATTATCAAAACTCTCATCATCAAAAAAAAAAGCTCAAGTTCTTGAATTTTACATGGGCTTGGACGATCATCTTTCCTTATGAAATCTAGTAGTAGGCAATCTTCATTGATTATTCTTTTAAGAACATTGAGAATCTGGCCATGTCATAAAAAAATCTAGTAGTAGGCAATCTTCATTGATTATTCTTTTAAGAACATTGAGAATCTGGCCATGTCATAAAACAGATACAAATAAATTTGGGCTACTAAAAGAAATAAATTAGAATAACAATTTAGTAAAATTAGCTACCTTCTTTATGGAAAGCTATTGTTTCCTCTCAACAGGTTCAGTAAGCTGTGCTTTGTCATCATATTTCTTACAAAGGACTCATCAACAATAGTTCATGTACAGTATAGATAAGTTAAAAAAAGTTGACATGCAAATTTAAAGTAATAAAGTGAGCTATTCTCTGAATATGTATTTAGATTCACATAATTTAATGTTAAATTTAAGTTAATAACTGCAATAACAATCAAAGCATGCAATAGTTATCAAACAACTATATGAGCATATGCGTATAAATCATAAATTGTCCTAACAAATTAAATTCATCAGTTCATAATCTTAAAAGCATATGAAAAGCTCATTTGAAATCCTTCAACCAATTTGTAAATGTAATTAAAACTAAAAAACATTCATGTTTAATTTTTGTGGGCCTTTGATTAATCCTTCTCCACATTTATCTTCTTTTTTGGTAAATCGAGAACTGAATCATCATCATCAATGTTGATTGGGATGTCTTCTTGGATTTGGATTTCTTGTGCTATTATCTTTCCTTGTGCACGTTCATCCTTTGAGTTCTCATCCAACTTTATAAGGAACTTGTATGTCTTTCCGATGTTGAGAACAAACTTTTGAAAGAATGAACTCTGATTTTTTTTCCTGTTTTAATGAGGAAAAAATTAAGATCTTATATATGAAACATATTGTTTTATATGTATAAAATATAATAAAGTAAGAAGTTACCTCTTTTATATCATCCATGAAGTTTTGAGCATTGCAGCCTATCAAAGTTTCTGCTGCGTCAAAAAGTGTGACTCTTGCAGTATCTGTTTTATCTTCCACTATGATTTTAACAACATACCTACATTTTGTATTATCATTGTGCATCATATGATATTTTTATATTTAATCTTTATATTTTTCTTTCATGAGTAAGTGATAGTACTTTACCTCGGTATACTGTCTTCATTGTTTTTTTAACAATTTTGATATTTGTCATAAATAGTTTTGTCTACTTTTTTATTGCAGCCTTTGCATGAGTAGTACCAAGCATCATGTCTATTTAAGATATTACTTATTTTTCCAGTAAAGCTGCCATATTGTGCCTGTAGATTTGTAAAAATTTAGTTAGTTATAAATATAGTTTAAATATATTTAGTAAATAAAATAAGAAATTATAAAATAATTTAAAAAATATAGTCCAAAAAGAATTTTTTAAAAATTTATGTAAAAGTAATAATTGTAAATGTATTTGAAACATCAATGAAACAAGATCTATTTATATAAGCTTGTTTTGAAACTGAAGCTCTTGATTCATTAATATTTTATAGTAGTATTTTGAATATCATACCTTTGATGAATTTTGTGAAGCTTGCATAATGTCAATAATATTCATTTTCGCTACATTTTTAAATAGCCTTGACGGAACACCATTAGTCTTGATCTTGTCTTTTGAAAGAGCCCTGCATATAATTTTAAAAATATTTAAAATTAATTTATTAAGTTACCTTTTTTATTTGATTATCATTCTCGCATGTCCTTAGCAAGTTGTATTTCAGGGTTGATACATATTGTCGATGCAATTTGTGAAGTCATGCACATCTCCCCTGCATATGTAATAGTTATAATTAGAAGTTGATATTTATTGATAAATAATTTACAATTCAATAATAGAAAATGATACCTTTGTGATATTTTAAAATTTGATAGCGCTATTATAGTTGTCTCATGCATATTTCCTTCAATAATTGAACCTTCATTGCCAGCTAAATCTCCGAATAAAGTTACAGACAATGTTATCTCACTGTGTAAGAAAAGTTAGACAATTTTATGTTAATATATTATATTTTGAATAATTAATTTATTGTGAAATAAAAGCATGCGTGTATACTCTTTGTCTACTATAATGATGTCCCGCCTTGTGTCTGCCTTATTATATCTTGTAACGTACTTGATCATAGGCTTGGCATTTGCTATCATTGCAAGAACATCTGCACATAAATTTATAATAAGTTGAAAATTCATGTATAAATTTTTAAATTAAAAATAAAAGGTATTTACAAATACTTACTTATATTCCTTGTATCCTCGTTGAAAATTGCGTCTTTGATTGAGATAAAGTTATTCAATATCTTATCAAATTGAAACTCTGCTTTTGATTCTTTGATAGAAATGTTCTTAGTCAATGTCAACTCAATTAACTCATGTACATTTCCATAATGCGGGTTTATTGGTTTGACTTCTCCATTTGAGATGTAAACAACATGATTCTTCTGAAGCATGTGCTTATACATTTCAATAGTTTCTCCAAACATAATACCTTGTATTTTTTCCCCCTGCAAATATTATTAATATTATCTCACAAATAACTAATACATTAACATTTATTTAAGCCTAAGATAAATAAGATATGTAATAGATGACGTAAGTTATGTATAAATGTAGTTTTATGTGGGAAACTTTTAAATAACCATTCTCTAGATTTTACTAAAAGCTATCCATAATCTTCGGGTCCAAAAAAATTACCTTTTAACTCATCAACGAAACTAACCTTATTTATATAAAGTTACCTGTTATTGAATTAGAATTTCTACAACTTACTAATAAGTCATTCGATCTCAATTAACAAATTTAATCGTTTATACGGATTAGCTCTTTGTAAAAAATTTAAATAGGCGCTACTTGTATAAACAATTCCACCAAAGTTTTGCAACACCAACTAAGTTGAGGGGCTAACATGATAAATTAATATTCTCAAAATTTAGCTTGATCATGCAACTAAATAATAAATTTATGGTAAATATGCTTATTAAAAATTTAGTCTAAGTAATAACTATATTGTTGCAGTGTGTATAAAATGTTGTGTTGATGTCATATTCCAATTATTTGCTTGCTTATATTGTTAGACATATCTAGACAATTAATTTACGTATAATTAGGAAGAAAGCATGATATTTGGTGTATAAAATTTGCGAAAATGAATTACATGTTGCTTACCTCTTTAATAATTGCAGGATTTTTTTTAATATGATCTTATACACAGTAAGGTGATAATAATTAATATAAGAATAAGCATCATCAATTATAATTTAATTTATATTTATAATTTATAAATTTTTAAAAAATTAAGAAGGCTATGCATAGATTTAAAATAACGATTGCTATGGCATGATAAAAAGTGATGGATATTGTACTTAAACATTGTATGTATTGCTTTATTTAAGAATAAGTATCAACAATTATCAATAGAATTATAGCATGTAGAATATTGCTACATTACCTCTGAGTCGGCAAAAATTAATTTTAGTACTTTTCCTGATCCTTTGTTGTTCTCATAAGATGACTCAATAGTTCTTAGGATAACAACATGAATGGTCCACTCTCTTTGAAACTTTTTTAGTTGGTGTATTTAGATGTGTGGAATTGATGCTTCGTTGTTGGCTGACATTGTTCCTGTAAGAATTTGAATAGTTTGTTATATATAAATAACAACGCATCTGAAGTACTAAATAAACTCAAAGGAAAATAAAATAAGACTATTTCTATATCAAAGGTGTGACACTAATTATAGTAAATTGAATTTATTAATTAATATTATTTACAATGTTTAAAGTTATTTTAATTTTGATTAGTACATGAATTTGAATGAAGAGAGTGAATGATGTAATAATGAATTGTAAATTTTTAAATTATTTTTAAGAAAAAAACTTTAATAAAATTGCAGCTACTTATTATATAAATTCCTAACCTTCAAAAATGTTATTGGTCATTTGAATTATTCCTCGTGATCCTTTGGCTAGAGAACTTCCTTGTATACAATATTTTTTGTGTATTGTTCCTCTTCTGCAAATTTCCCATCTGATGTTATTAAGACCTTGGTTGTCATCATAGAAGTACCCCGCGATAAAGCAACATATAATTGCCCATGAGAGAACACTGGTTCATGTAGATAAATACCTACGTTAGGTATTGTTTGCCCTTGGGATTTATTAATTGTCATTGCAAAACATAATCTTATGGGAAATTGTTTGCGTTTGAACTTGAATGGTAATCCTTCATCTTCTGCTGGTGATAATGATATTCTTGGCAAAAAAACTTATTTCCCAGCATGTTGGCCCATTGTGATTTTAGCTTGAATTACATTGTAGTTAAAATCTTGACATATCATTCTTGTACCGTTGCACAATCCATTAGTTGGATCCAAGTTCCTTAGTAAAATAATTGGACAATATTTTTTTAACTTGAGCTTGTGTGGCGGTAGTCCATTAGGGAGCTGAGTGTTCAAAAATTCTTCTTGGTAATGATGATTAGTGTCATCAACTGCTTCATCAAAGCTATAGAATTCTTTTCCTTCTCCTGGAAACCTTTTTATTAGTCTATCATTTAACTTGTCAACATATTCATTTTTTTGTTGCAAGGATAGCTCTATCTTTCATATATTCAATAGACTTAAAATTCTCATCTAAAGATGGAAAAATTGAATTTATGAGAGAATCTTCCGGTAGGTCATCACCTTGATTATGGATCAATATTTCATTAGGTAGTTTTATGAGATCCTGGGTCACTGTTGGTTCATCTACATTCCCAATCCTAAGAAGAAATTCACTGAATGCTGTGTCTGATTTTGCTCTCATATTTTTTGAAAGTTGTAGTTTAATCATTTTGCTCCACAAATGTGAGCTTACTAAACTTTCTTTGATAGTTTGTGATCTTGTTGAGCGAGGCACCACCGATAAAACTTGTCTGAAATCGCCACCAAATACAATTACTTTTCCGCCAAATGGTTCATCTTGATCCATTAAATCTCTTAGTGTTCTATCCAACGTTTTAATTGCAACGCGTTTAACCATAGGAGCATCGTCCCAAATTATTAGACGAGCTATTCTAATGAGTTTTGATGTCCCATCTTGCTTTGATATACCACACATAGATGAATCTGTTGTTAGGATTTTGATTTTAAATCTGTAGTGTGTTGTTCTTCCACCAGGCATTATTACAGCTGCGACACCTGATGTCTCTGTAGCAAGAGCTATCATACCTTACGATCTTACCGTGGCAAGTAGAGCACGATATAAATATGTCTTCCCAGTTCCTCCAGGACCGTCAATAAAGAAAACTCCACTTTTATTTGCTTCAACTCGTGTTAATATTGTAGTGTATGCAGTATGTTGTTCATAGTTAAGTTTTGTTGCAGCATTTACATCATCAGTTGGGATTTGTACATCTAGCTCTTCTTTTATTTCTCTTGGGTATGAACCTTCCTCTGAAATGGTTTTTGTTTGTAAAGGTGGCAAATCAAATTTTTTAATATCTTTTCCCATACTCTCTAAGTAGAAGTTAATATTGAGAAGAATATCATTTATCACCGAAGCTCTAGTAGCATTTGGTTTCCTTGAGAAGTCTTCAGATAATGATTCAAGATATTGATCCCATAAATAATTAACATCTGTGGGCTCACAATGAACCAATATAGTTGCAAACAAATGTCGAAGTGCTGTTGGCATTTGGAAGACGATGGCTTCATCTAAGCATTCTCTTATGCTATCATCAGATTCCAAAAGACCTAATTTCTAGGCTGATTGCTTAAAAGATTTGCAATGAATACCATTTACTGTGAGTAGATCCTCAAATGATGTTAGACACCTAACGTGAGTAAGCAATAGTCGCAAGTAATATCTCTCTCCTTCAATTGGATTAGCCCCGTTTATTCGACCTATCACTTGTCTCTGTTTTCTTGGACTCTAAGATTTTGATGTTGAATCCCAAACATAACATTCAGGAAATTCCACATATAATAACTCCTTTTCGTGGTCCTTTTCATGTTTCTTCTTGTTACCTTCTTTAATTTTTTTTATACATAGTAAAAAATTCTGTAAGCATCGTCTTGGAGACATGTTCCAAGTGAATCAATTTCGATAGGTCTTGATGTTTCCAATAAGAAACATATTGCTTATTTGGCATGTAAAGTTGTAAGTTAATGACAGCCGGGAATATCTCATTAAGATGGAATTCATATATTCTCCAGAAAGCTTCCTGAGCTGATACCCATCTTGCATCTTGAAAATTTTTTATTTCATTCACAACTTTTTCACCTTCATTATACTCAATGTTTACTGTCACTCTATCGTGGCCTTTATATATGTACTTATAAAGGTATTTCACTGCTTTTATGCTTGAGCATATTTCAACATTGATGTGACAGTTATAACGTGTCAGCAAATATAGATTGTAAGGTACCACCCATTGATTATTAAGAATTTTGTTTCGAACCAACATTGTTCTATTATTTTTGCTCCTTTTATAAATTGGGTAAGCATCTTTCGCTTGTACTGATCTTGGAGAAAACTCTCTAGGCAAACATTCTTCATATTTAACTCTCCACAAGGGCCATGCATCATATGTTTTTTTACCAGTTCATATAGGATTGGATTTTCATACTGGTCTGGAATTTCTGCTGATACGTACTTATCATAATGATCTGATGATACGATTTTGTGCTTTCCCATTAGAATAATTAACATGTGTGCATGAGGCAACCCTCTTTTTTGAAACTCGATGACATGAACATGGGCAGTAACTTTTTCAAAGATTTCCTTTTTAAATAGCTGATCTTTAAGGTCTTGCAATTTTGCTCGAAATATCCTTGAGGTTAGATCCGGTCTATCATTATGTGTCTGTCCTGGATGTAGTTCCTCCGTGATTTCTTCCCATTCAGGATTGCATGTCATTGTGATGAAAATATCTGGTTTTCCAAATCGTTGTACTAATGACATTGCATCAAGATATCTACGACGCATATCTCTAGGACCACCAATAAATGATGATGGCAAAACTATTCTTTTTCCGACATGACATGCTTTTGCTTCCCCAGCAGCTACACTATCGACTATGCCTTGGAATAACTCTGCTCTGATTTCTGATTGTTTCTTTCTAAAATAATGAAGTCTTGTTGTTTCAAGCTTTATGTACATATCAACAGCATATTGATGGAACAACCGGCCTGCCGATGTTAATATAGTAGATTGTCGAGCGTCTCTTATCTGGAACTTGTAACAATAATATTCTCGACATGACACGCTTCCCGCCTTTGGTGCTTTAACACCTACAAGTTTGCATGTTAAGTTAATTTTTAATGTTTTAATATTATTAAACAATTTTATTTATGATTTACCTTCACTTTCTCGTTTAAATATGTCTTCTGCAGATGTAAAAGTTTGCTGAGTCACTTGAGATGTAGTATTTAGTTGTTTTGAACGGTGAATATCATTTTTCTCCCTTCTTTTAATATTTTGGTGTCATCCAGCATCTCCGCCTGGAAAGAGTAAAGGATACTGTAAAGGATCATAACAACCAAAATAGTGATTAACTTGATGATTATTGCCGGAGTGTGAATGGACAACTATTTCTCTCTCATATGGAACATTTTCATTATTTCCCTCTACCCAGACAGCTGCAACCTGATCCACTATTGGCGAGTTATAAACACGTTGATCTACTGCAGCATCTCTATTTATAATGATCTTGAAGTCTTTAAGAGATGAAAAATCATTCAGTTTCCGCAGAAATTTTGCATATGGGTTTCCTTCTAATATATCCATCAATCTTTTAGTAAATTTTGCATATGGGTTTCCTTCTAATATATCCATCAATCTTTTAGTTGTAGTCGTACTCATGTTTGCATTATCTAATATTCCCATTCGATTTTGCAACTCATTCTCCGTATCGTAGAAGTAAAGTTGAAAGTAGGAGGGCTTATTTTCTTCTGGAATTAGAGAGGGTAGATTATGATATATTTGTCCTTGTGCTCTAAATGTGAAAATACCCTTTTTGTTTGATGCAAGCTCTCTATCAAACCTTGCCCCAAATGATGTGAATGAGAAAATGCTATTATACTTTCTGTTTTATCTTCGAAACTCAATTGCCTCTTGGGTTTGTACTGTATAAAGGGCATATAACTCGATATTAACATTCACATCTGCTAGGTGGATTTCACCATTGTGGCAACAGGATGTTGGTGGCTCGTGTTCAAACTTTTTTGCTCCACAAAATGAACAAGACTTTGGAGTGCGTAGTTTATGTAATAAAGAACATACTGGTTCATGGTTAATTTGACCTAGAAAAAAAGAATAGTTTTTAGTGTTAAATAAATTTAGATATATAAAATCATGTAATTATTTTACTAAAATATAAAATTAATCTATGCAAACCTCCATGCTCATATTCCCGTTGTTGCACTCTACAAAACAAACCAATCTTACGTTTTCGCTTGCTATTTGTACTACTGCCAGCAAAATCATTCCTTTTCCTCTTTCTATTATTATCAATGACCTTCTGAATGTAAGTTCTCTTCTGATCGACATTCAACTGATTATATTTGGTGTTTCTACTCTCATGTATTAGAATTTGTTCTTCTGTTAAAAAATAATGAAATATACTATTAATAAACATAAATACACATAAAAAAATAATAATATATATTTATTTATGTTGAATTCAAACCTTGGTTGGAAGTCATTTGGAAGAAGGTACTCTTATGCAAATGTATAGTGATTATGCAATCCAAGAAGTAGAATGTAAATTTCTACAAGGAAAAGAAAATTTAATGCGTTAAATTATTAATTTTATTTAACATAAGTATAGCAATGAATATAATTTGAGAGTAACTATATTTTAATTGATGTTCAATAGTATTTAAGTTTTTTTTTAATTTGGTGCACTATACATGCATCAATAATCAAAAATATCTCATATGCTAAGGTTAATTCTGTTTTTTTTAAGTCATATAATAATAATAATAATAATAATAATAATAAATATTTAAGTGAAGAAGAAGATAAATACAAGGAAATAGAGTTACCATCACTATGAATAAAATAAAGAGAAAAGAGAAGAAAGTTGCTTAACTCACCTGAATCACCGATAAATTTAGAAATATTTCCAAAAAAAAGGCAAATCCAACCAAGTAGAATATCTGCATTAATATGAAAAAATGTTAAATTATTAAGAACGGTATAATGTGTGCATTAAAACAAGTAAAGAAAATTAAGAAGATCAGGGAGTATTGAGTCTAATGGGATTCTATCAGGAAACAAAGCAAATATATCTTATCTAGCATTTGTTGTTATGACCAAAACATATGCAGTGTGTAAGTTTTAAACAACTCTAAAAATAGCGACATATCCATCTATAGAGCCTGGGAACCCTCGTATCTTGCCAAGATTTCCCTCATAACACATCCCCCCACCCCCAAACCACAAAAAAAAGAACAAAAACCACCCCATCCCACCAAAAAAAACAAACCAACCAACTAAACAAAAAAAGCAAAAAAAAAAAGCACTCAGTCTACATTAAGTGATGTCTGTATACAAGGTGATACATATTCTCAGATTTCCTCAGCATGTTTTAACATATAAATTGAACCCTTGTTTCATAAATCTTAATATGCATAATTTTTTTTCTTTTAGGTCAAATAATCTGCAAGAAATTGTACATATGAACTACTATACCAGAGCACGCAAGGAAATGTTTACAAACAACAACAATATAGAAGCTCTTACTGAGAGCATAAAACTAAGATAACAAAGCAAATATATCTTATATTGAGTCTAATGGGATTCTATCAGGAAACAAAGCAAATATATCTTATCTAGCATTTGTTGTTATGACCAAAACATATGCAGTGTGTAAGTTTTAAACAACTCTAAAAATAGCGACATATCCATCTATAGAGCCTGGGAACCCTCGTATCTTGCCAAGATTTCCCTCATAACACATCCCCCCACCCCCAAACCA